GGAGGAAATTGCAGGGGAGAGTGAGGGTGGCTGCGGCTCGCCGGCCGGAAATCGGTGGCCGCGGCAAGAGACCATGGCGCTTCTGAAGATCCGGTCTGATATGGACTCGGTCTTCCAGGAAGCCACTCCCAAAGCCCCCTTATGGGAAGAGGTCTCCAGGTGAGCTCCTTCCTCCCCCAATTATGCTCCCTTAATATCAATTTCTCTCTCTAGCTGCCCAGCTATGGTGGCTAATATAGCTTTTCGGGATCCACTACTTCTTACTTGAAGTAGAGGAAATGTGGAGACTGTCATGTCCATAATTCTCTCTCTTCACGATTTCAGATCTTGCAGGCATCATCATCATCATTAGCCCCTGATTTCTCTTTCTATCTCTTCACGAGGGGAGCATCTTTTTAAACTATAAATTTTTATTTTTATTTTTTTTTGGTGTGTGAAGGATAAAATTACGTATGGACTGAATTCGGTGGAAGGGCGTCAGATCAGATCCACGGCATCAATCCCCTCCCCTTTCTTAATTTCTTAGTTTTTCAATCCTACAAAGTTCATAGTTTTCTAAAATATATATATATTTTTTTATTATATTTGATTGAAAATAAATAACTTCTAACTCTTTTTTTTCTGAATAATACATCAAGGATTAAATTTCTCGATATTTTTGGCACTGTTCATCGAGTACGATAATTAGTGTTGCTTACTTCCATCGGTACAGGAAGATATGTAATTATCATTATTATTATTATATAATTAGGTGTGAGATTAGATGCTTTGAGTGCTGCAGGAGTGTTTGCGTGCAATCATAAGCACCTTTCGTTTTTCTTTTTTTTTTTTCTTTTTTTTTTTGGTTTTTTAGAATACACTCATCGTTTTCACATATTTTCACATAACTTATTTTTTATAAATTGAATAACAAAAAATATTTCTTTAGAGTTTATTTGCGCTTATGGAATTTTATAGTTTGATGGGGAATTGAGTTTGCAAGTGGGCAGGAAGCTGCGGGAGGAAGGATATCAACGGAGCGCCAAGAAATGCAAAGAGAAATTTGATAACGTTTTTAAGTATTATAAGAGAACTAAGGAAGCTCGCGCCGGCAAAAGCTACCGTTTTTTCAGCCAGCTGGAGGCTCTCCGCCCCTCTTCCTCCACCGCCGCCGCCGTCCCGAACCCCCCGCAGCTCACGCACCACCGCTGCCAATATTGAGCAGCTCAGTAAACATGGTTAACATCGAGGCGAGCACTTCTGCCGCCGCCGCCCCGTCTCAACACACCCTGTTTTCCATCAATGTACCGCGACCGCCGCCGGCCGTTGCTGCGCCTCCTACGATTCCGAAGATCGCTCCGCCTTCAACTGATGCTGCTCATGGGCCGAGTTCCTCGTCCAACACATCAAGCTTTTCCGGCACCGAGTCGGAGGGTGAGGAGGAGGGAGAAACTAGTCGGAAGAGGAAGCGAAAGCTTCGTGGTGGCGGCGAAGAGGAGGCGTCGGAAGGAAGCGGAAAGATGATGGCTTTTTTCGAAAGTCTCATACACAAGGTGATGGATCAGCAAGACAAAATGCTTCAGAGATTTTTGGAAGCAATAGAGCGGCGGGAACAAAACAGAATGATAAGGGAAGAAGCGTGGCGGCGTCAGGAAAAGAGCCGCCTTTCTCGGGAACATGAACTAGCCGCTCAGGAACGTGCCGCCAAAGCTTCGCGAGACGACGCAATCTTTTCCTTTCTCCAGAAACTCACTGGTCAAAAAATCCCCATTCCACCTCCACCTCAACCTCTTCCAATCACAGTTATCCCCGCCGAAGAAACACCAACTTCACCCCCGCCGCCGCCTCCGCCGCCCATGCCGCCAGAAAACCCCCATATGCCACCAAAAGAAACGACTTTGGTTCCTTCCAGCAGAACGACTACTGAGCCACTACTGTCTTCCCGTTGGCCGAAATCGGAAGTACATGCGCTCATCAAACTGCGAGGTGGGATGGAATCCAGATATCAGGAATCAATCCCAAAGGGTCCATTGTGGGAGGAGATCTCGGCCGGCATGCTCCGCCTCGGCTACAATCGGAGCGCGAAACGCTGTAAGGAAAAATGGGAGAATATCAATAAGTACTTTAAGAAGGTGAAGGAGAGCAATAAGAATCGCCGAGAAGATGCCAAGACCTGCCCTTATTTCCACCAACTGGACGCTCTCTACCGCAATAAACTCCCCGGCGGCAGTTCCTCCGCCGGCACAGCACTACAAACTGTCTCCGCAGCCGATCACCTCGCCATCATCCCTCCTTCCACGGCCGCCACTATGCAGCAAGAAGACCGCTTCGGCTTCTTCGAAGAAGGATCCAGCTCTGTTTCTCCGATAAAAAAGGTATTTTTATAATCAGTTCCCGTGAGTCATTCCTCGCTTGCAAAACCAATTAATTCGGCATTGTTTCTATTGAAGCCAGAAGACATTGTGAAGAAGAAGGTTGTGGAACCCGAGAGAGAGAAATGGGTGGAAAGCTGCAGCTTTCAGTTCAGCATACAGTGTATGATGCCAATAGTACTTTGCGGAAGTACCGGACAGAACAACTACTTTGCCATGGTCCGGTAGACTTCTCTCTCTCTCTCTCTAGATATAGGTCTATTTATCTTCATTTATGCATCGTTTAGATAAATCATCTTCTTGAACGATTTCTATCACATTGTTTTGCTCCGCACGAATAAAATTTGAGTGGGGATGCGGCGGCGCCCGGCGGCGGGTGGCTGAGAACATTGGGAGGAAACCAATAAGGTTGATTTGATTTCTGCTTCGGTGCGCGGATTTTTTTTTTATTTTCTTAATTTGTTATTTCAATTTCTTGTTTGTTCCTCATTGTCTCATTCCCTTTCTCCACCCCTTAATTAAGTTCCAGAAAAATTTAATGATTTCCTTATTATTTCTAATTCTCCTTCATTTTTGCTGTAATTATGATTGGGGTTGTGAATTGTTTAAAGGAGTCCTTTCATTATGTGTAATTTTTTCCTTATTAATTATTACAAATATTTAATTTAAAGTTGATTAGCTGACGTTTGTCTTCATGCATATTTGCTCTCATCTTTTCTAATAATATTTATGGTTATTATTTTTATAACTACTAAGTTTTAGGCTCTAATTAATTATTAATTTAAAGACATTATGAATATTTATGATATGTGAATTGCACTGAAGTTGTTATGAGAGTAGGAAGAGTGTGGGAAATGTTATGTTTGTCATTTATCATGCTATATGAAAACGGCGTGGATCACACGATGTCATGTGTATAATAGTGCCAAGTGATCCATATTGTCAATCGCACGTCGGTATTAGACTAATATTCTCTCAAAAAGAGAGCTGAAAATTGAGAATTTTCCTTGTAAACTTTCATATCTCTGAACATTATGTTATTAATTTTTATATATTTTTGCTCTCAACAATTCAAATTGGGAAGTAATTTAGGAGCTTGATTAATGAGAGGGATGACACCCAATTGCATGGTGCCAAGAGTTTGGTGTAGAGTGGTACACCCCCCATCAATCCTCATATGTATCCATATAACCCTAAATAAGTATATATATTTATTTACGATGACTTCTTTTATTACAATGTCATTATATTTGGAATTTGGTTTGTCTGTTTCCTTTGATCTTTGTTAAAAAAAAAAGGGACGGGCACTTAATTACATACCACTCAATTCTTATGTATGTACATATCAAATATCTATGTTTTGCATTTTTACCTTTATATCACCCAAAACTTTCACATCACATGAAAAATATTTTTATTTTAACGTTAAAAAAAATAAATACACCTTTTTAGTGTTTGTATGTATATATATATATATATATATATATTGATATTTTAGTGTATAGAATAGTAAATATATAGGAATTGATTGGTATGTATGTAAATATTCTTTAAAGTCATCCAATATCATGCATATTAATCAAATCTATAAAGATTTTAGCCAACTTTTTTTAAAAAATTTTATAATTATTCTAAAGATTAAAAGTTGCATTATAATTGATGAAAATTTATAATGTCAAAAAAAAAAGAACGTTCCGGATGAATCCAAACACTCTAAGATCACCGAAATTTTAGGCCATGAGAAGAGCCCAAAACAAACCCATTGGGCCCCTGGTTGGGTTGTCCCCCTCCCCACTTTTGAAAGCTATCTTTATTAGCTGTTGCGTAGCGAAGTGGCAAAGCAGCATACTTCCAACTAAAATACTAATTATTTTGGAGTTTTTGCATCTCCACAAATCTCTATTTTACCAAATCATTCTCGATGAATAATTGCTCTCGAATATACCATTTTTAAAATATATACATAATTTGCACTCAATCGTAGTCATATTTTAAATTAATTTATTTTTATCGATATATAAATTTTCAATTTGTGACTCAAAAAAGAAATATCCAAAACAAAAAACAAAATAAAAAATAATAATAATATTTGATAGTCACTATTTATTTTTTCATTAATTAATTTTTTTATATTTAGGTCTCTCTATAATAAATCCATGAATGGGTTATATCACTTATCAAGTGGGAGCTAATAGTGGCCTATGCATGTGATGTCTTCTCAATCCTTTTATTTTGTCTTCTTTAGTGCTTCCCCGATTTAGTTCAATCAGGTTTGATTTAAGGCTTTTTTTAGGATCACATTCTTATTTATTTATTTATATATTTATTTTAAAAGTATTTTCTTTTGCTTTTTTTTTAAATAATATTAATTTGTTTTATAAAGCATTCAATTATTGTATATACATACATACCATATAATTCTTATGTATTTACATATCTAATACCCAAATTTACATATTTAGGTTCATAGCACTTAAATCTTTAATATCACTACTAAAAATTATTAAAGCGAAATATATTTTTTTATACATGGGTTTACTACATTAAAGCCTTATAAATACAAATATCAAAATTTTGATATTTAGATGTTGGATTTTCCTAACAAAAAAAAAAAAACAAATAAATTAAAATAATCTTTATGACATCTATTTTTCTTTTGGAACGTTCTTCGCAGGCCTAACGGCCACCACTCATGTTTATGACTGATTTTTTTTATATTTATTTGGCAATTTAAATCCAATTTTGGCAAAGTAATATGACTGATTAAAAATAAATATAATAAAATAAAAGTTCATAGCTAGGGCAGCTCTTTTTTTTTCACCATAATATGTTTTTAAACAATGTTAAATAATGTTAGAGTGGAGAGGATAAAATTTATCATCAATCTTCTTTAATTTATTATCTTTATTATATTTATTCTTAGTGGTGTTAATAGGCTTAAAGTTCATGACTATCTTGGCTACAAATATGGAGCTCATATTTTATGTGAGAGACTCACGAGGTTGAGATTGAGCTAAGTCGAGTCATGTATATCATCGATTGGACTTGTTTTGGTACAATTATAAGGTGTTCATGTCCAACTTGAGCTTTAGTCGAGTTGTCAATCAATGTTCTAGCTTGATTTGTTTGAATTTTTCAATGCTTGGAACTTGATTTGTTTTAAGACAAGTGAACGAATATCTCAAATAGCTCAAAATTCAAATGAGTGTCATGATCTTTTATTTAAAATTTTCAATAAATAGTTTTACAAATATTAATATAAAAATAAACAATTTAATAAATCAGATGAGAAAATAAACTGACCCATGTAATCTCATCTAGTGTTTATAATATGTGCAATTTATAAGAAGAAACATCTTTTTTTATTAGAGAGAGCGCCAAAAAGAGAAAAAATATGCAAAGGAGCTTAAACGCCCCCACCCGAGGCATTTTTTTCTTTCTTGATTTTTTAGGGTAGCGGTATGCAAAACTGTTATGCAAAAACATTGTGGTGGCTTACAAATTCACATAACAGTAATCAAACACAAAAGCTTTATGTGGTTCAGCGTTGAATCAATTCACCTACGTCCACAGAGAGGGCGGTTTCACTAGCACCAGATGGGGAGAAAAAAGACGGCTTATGGTTACAACTCAACACTTCTCAACGTCATACATCTCTTATAAGCACTAAGTCATGTTTTATAGAGAAAACTTAGAGGATATAAAGAAAAAAACAAAAGAGGAAACAAATCAAATATAATAATCTTATAAAATAAAAGTCATAAATACAACTATCTACACCTCATCTCTTACTTCCAGATAAGTGAGAGATGATTAACTTAGCTCCAACTTCAAAGCATCTGCATAAAGATGATCGTCTATGTATCCCTCTCCCGAAGGGATCAAGCATCATGTAGTTCTTCAAAATGCCCAACTAGGCAATCATTCCTGAGCTCGGATGTTCACCAATTTCCCACAATATACGAACTTTTGGATAGGTTGTACTATCGTGAGTTTGTCTGTTCGATTCTCTATTGTAGCTATCTTCTTCAAGAAAAACTTGCCTTCTTCAATTAAGTCTCAAATAAAGTGGTAATCTCACATTAATATGCTTGGTACGAGCATGATAAACTGGATTTATAGCCAATAATATCACACTCTGACTATCACAAAACACCTTCAGTGACACCTGTTCAACTCCCAAGCCATTCAATAGGCCCTGCATACATATTGCTTCCTTCATCACATCTATGACTGTCATACGCTCAGCCTCTATAGTAGACGAAATAACAATTGACTGAAGAAATGACTTTTAGCTGACTGGACCTCTTGCTGATGTGAATAAATAGCCACTCGTAGGTCCTTATTTATTCATATCACCTGGATAGTCTGAGCCAAATCTACATTAGATGACTATCTCTCAAAAATCAAGCCAACACCAATTGTACCCTTTAGATTCCTCACAATACTTTTCACAGCCTGTCAATGACTCATTCCTGGATCATGCATAAACCTGCTCACAACACCAACTGCTTATGTAATGTGTGGTATAGTGCAAACCATGACATACATCAGATTGCCCACTACACTAGCATAAGGAACCGATCATATAAACTTTCTCTCCTTATTATCTTTAGGACACTGATCTAAACTCACCCGAAAGTGAGATGCAATGGGTAGACTCACCACCTTGCTCGAGTCATCAACACCTTCAGAACATAAGTTCCTTGTGAAAGACAAATCTTTCTAGTTGCCTTGTCCCTAAAAACCTCCATGTCAAGAATTCTGTGAGCTTCACCCAACTACTTCTTTTCAAAATTTTTGGACAGTTGATTCTTTATCCTATCAATCTCAATCTTACTGGCAAATACAATCAACATATCATCAACATATAGAAACAAATAAATGAACTCACTGTTGGCCAACATCTTGAAATATACACAATGATCATGCTAACTCTATATGTACTCATGTCTCCTCAAGAACCAATCAAATTCTTATATCGCTGCAATGATAACTGCTTCAACTCATTTAAAGGCTTGTCCAATTTTACAAATCAAGAGTTTTGATGCTCCATATCAAGGCGGGAACAACATAGAATTTTCCTATTGCAATTCTTGTATGAATGATGTTTTTACATCAAGCTATTCTAAGATTTAAGTCTAGGAGGTACATAGAAAGTTTTGAGATCTTCAAATGTTAAAGAATTTGCAGTAGTCAAATCCTTGTGATAGTTTTGTTGCACCGAATCAGTAGTTAGCAACCCGCTGCTAAGGTTAACTTGGACAAACGAGAAACCATGATCATTGATGGTAACCAAAGAATTTCCTTATTGGAGTGACCTGCACCAATTTCAAGTGAGCCTTCGGGTTTATCCATCGATAAGATTGCTTCTGCCTCGGAATCAATGTTTGATTTGACACTTATCCTTATCCTAAAGGCTAACAG